AGGCCAGGGAGGTCCCGATTGCCATGGCTGAGGCGAAGGACGAGATGGAAAAGGAGGCAGTCCTGGAGGCAATAGAGCGAGTGCGAAAGTCAACCGAGAACTCAGAGAAGGCAGTGGAGGATGCAAGGGAGGCTGCAAAGGAAGCACAAAATGCGGCGATGGAAGCCACGTCAGAAGCGGATACAGCTACGCAGACGGCAGCACAATTGCAGACTACAAACGATGGCCTTAAGAAGGAAATTGCGGAGGCTCCAGAGACGTTGAGCAGGCCACAGGGTAGTGGTGAAGAGAAAAATCACGCAATGCTAGAGCAACGAGCGCTGCAAGCCAAAACGAGGGCTGAACGTATTGAGAACAGGTCGAAGAAAGTGCTGGAGAAGGCCCGTGAGGCACTGCAGGTGGCAATCGTGGCAAAAGGAAACGCTGACGAGGCAGAGCGACTGTCAAGTTGGTCGTCATCGTCCACGAAGCAATCCGTGAGGTCGGTTAACTCCGCGGCAACACAGGCCACTGTTGCTGCTCTGAGCGCCGAGGTTGCGGCGAAAAAGGCGGAGGAGATCGCGACAAAGGCATTGGAGTCAGCGAAGAATGCGAGGGAGGCGGCTACCGCGGCCTACATGGCAACACAGGCCGTCAAGCAGGTGGTCACGTTCGACAAAGTGAAGATTGAGGACAATGCTGACGGTGTGCCGCTCAACGGCGAAGATACCTCCAACATCACTGCCTATATTGCGCTGAAGCTTAAAACCACAGCGGAATTCGCCAATAGGGCCCAGGAGGACACGACATCAGTGGAAAAAAGTGCTGCAATACTACAGGACCACACGAGAGATGCAGAGAGGGCAGTGGAAAATGCAAGGGAACGCGTGAACGATGCAGCGGACTCTGTTGAGTATGAAAGGGTTCTGGCAGAGCAGGACTGGAAGCAGCTTTCCCAGGGCGCGGCTCGGTCCGGCAAGAATGGGAGGGCGTTGATGCGCAACGCGGCGGACGCCAGCGACAGCCCTGCGTGGGTGCGTGGGGTGCCGCTGCTGCTGCTGAGTGCGCTGGCCCTTCTGGCTGCGTGCTGAGGCATGTGTGTGTGCCCGACACGATNGCTGCTGCTGCTGAGTGCGCTGGCCCTTCTGGCTGCGTGCTGAGGCATGTGTGTGTGCCCGACACGATGTATGCCCCACCCGGCTGTGTGCGGCAGTGGAGGCGAATGCCCGCACTCTAAAATATTTAATAAAAAGAAATATAATTGCTGATCATTTGTGTGATTGCTTCGGTGTGCTCCACCCACCACGAATCGCATTGCGTGCAGTGTCGTCGGTGGGGTGCACCACTTCTCTTGTTTTGTTTCTTGCTTGGGCTCTGATTTACGCATGGCTGTGCGTCGCCCACTAACTGGTCCGTCTGTTCGATGGTTCTTCCTGCACGATGCGCCGCATCACACTTTGGTGCCCTGCTGCCGCCACTCCTGCTGCTTGCGGAGGCTGTGGGCTCCCTCGGTGTGTGCTGGGCACTGTGCGCGTGCCGTGGGCGATGGCTCCCCCTTTAATTGTGTGTGTGTGGCTCTGGTGAATGTGTGCTCCGGATCCAGAGGCCGTTTGTTTCTCGTTTCATTGCTGCCCCTTTGCGGGCTCTGCGCCGCTTGATGGTTCCACGACGATATCCGCCCTGCTTGGGATCATCAGTGAGGGCGCCTTTCCTTCCCCCTTTGTTTGGGCATTGCTTGGCGCGTCACTGCGTCTCGCCCACCTTCACAAAGCATCCTTTACTGCGACTCTCTGTGTGTGATGGGCTGCTGCTGCTGCTGTTGGTGGGTGGTATGTGTGGTGCTGCTCCCCCCGCTGTGTGTGTTTGTGTGTGCACCCCTGCAGGCCGACTCCCTTGGCTGTTGCAGTCCTATTCTTTTCTGTTTTCATCATTTCTTTGGGGTTGTCGGGGTCGTTTTTTCTGTGGTTTGTTGGGCTCTGCCACTGATGTTTTAGATGAGTAATGTATGACGTTTCTAGCTGTCCAGTGGATTGCGTGGTGCGCTGCTGCCCTGTCCTGGCGTACCTGTGTGTCTTGGTGTG